ATTTAAATTTGACTCCTTGTCCCTTATGACATTAAAAAGTTATACTGATGAATATGATCAGATATCTGTAGGTGCATAGAGGTTGATGATCAGATTCTGAATTGTCTAACAATTCCAGTCAGCACCTTGTGAACACAGTGAACTAGAGATACATGCGTCAATGTTCATGAGTAGCAGGTTGGTGCTTCCTCGTATTCAGTTTCCATCAGCAGGCATGACATGTAAGCAATTGGTCATTCACTTCTTTCAATGGACTGTGAGTTCAGTTCCAGACACATTTCCTGACACATCTGTTGTGACATTCATGTTCTTGAGTTGAAATTGCGCTGTTGAAATGCAAACTTCTGGCAGAGATGTTAGCTTTGGTGTAATCATGTCAAATGTTGTTTGCTGTGTAATTGTCCATTCCCCCTGTGTAACGTCTAAATAAGCTCTACAATTTCTGTGTAGATAGGAACAAATTGGTGGATAAAACTGGCAGTACTGAAAAACAATGTCAATTCTTTCACATTAGAAAGGGTCACAAATGGCTTTGACATTTTGTTGTGAGGTCTTTACTCCAGCTTTTGTCAATCTATATATTAGAAACTCACTCTCAGATGCCACTTGTCCTTGGTAAACATCAAATTCTCTTCTGTGTTAACACCTTCTGATAACTGCTGATCATGTCCTATAGCCAAGTCATCGAGATGGTTGAATATCCCTTCAAAGACATAAAAGACTCAAAAAAAAATGGTATATAATACAACAAAGAACTCCGAATGCTGGAAATCTGAAACAAAAACAAAAATTGCTGAAGAAACTCTGCAGATCTGGCAGCATTTGTCAAGGGAGAAACAGAGTCGACGTTTCAAGTCCAGTGAACCTTCTTCAGAACTGAAAGCTGAAAGTACGATAGCCTGAAATGCGCAATGTGCTGAACCTATTTGAACATTCTATAGTACAGAAAAATATATTTGTGAATAACAATGGCGTAAGATATTGTTCTTTCTCTGTTGATGGTATTTGAATGTAGCTCTGTTGCATATCAATTCCATGAAGACTGTGGAATCACAAAGTGATGCTAATGGTTTTTGGATCATAGAATGTTGACTTATGTCTGGAATGATAGCTTTTTTGACCATTTTAAGATTAATGCATAGGTTCTAAGTTCACCACTGTGTAAAGACTATGTTCATTATCCACAATGCTATGTCAATTCACTCATTGATAGTATGTTTTAAGATGTTTTAGCTCCTGTGACACTTTGTGCAAATATTGTCTTCTTACAAATTGCTGCTACGTCCAGACTGTGCACCCCATAGCAAGCCAGTAGGTCTTGAACCCTGAACTCCACCTAATTATGGCATGGTGAAATTACCAACCAAGGCAAGAAAAGAAAGGTGTGGGAACCAGAAAATTTCAGCCATTCTCTTCACCAATTGCTTTGCTTTGTTTTATGCCGTGAGTATACGCAAAAATAACATCACAGTTTGTATGTGTGAAATGGGAGCTTTATCCACAAATCCTGTATTTTTGAATGTTTGCACTGATGTGCTTCCAGCTGCTTCTCTCAGTTTAATTTCTGTTTTACTTTTTCAACCGCACTCAGGCATGACAAAAAAATGCACTGTGAAGTGTAAACAGACCACAATCAAACACCAAACAATTGAACAATGGAATATTACAAACAGGATGCTGAAAGAGGAGACAACAAGGTGCAGAGCTGGATGAACACAGCAGGCCAAGCAGCATCATAGGAGCAGGAAGGCTGACATTTCAGGCCTAGACCCTTCATCAGAAATGAAGGGTCTAGGCCCGAAATGATTGTGGCCTGTTTACACTTCACAGTGCATTTTTTTGAAAGAGGAGGACACTATTCCTCATTGGCAGATCTAAATTCTGTAAATCCATTGTACATCCCCACCATACCTCCATGTCCATTGTTCAGGAATCAGGCACAGAGAAGCCACTGGTATGGAAATATTATTCATCTTTTTTTCTCCAGGTGATAAATTATTGAAGTGGTATCCATGAGAGAGTGAATAATAAGTGAAAGGTCAAGGTTTGAACAGACAATATTGCCCTTTCTTATTATTTACTATTAACTTACCTTTTGAGGGTCTTACAATTCAGAAAAAGTAATGACTGAATAACATTGATTAAACGGTGTTTTATTTTTACTACATTGATAGCTTGTCTATCGAGAACAACCTGAATTGCTTTTAATAGTATGATAAATATGCTGGCATTATATTGAAGACCATCATACCAAACCAGATAATTTCACTACCTGACAGCTAGCTGATATAGAAATTTATAGAATCATTTTATAGCAATGGTACCTGACATTCCCAAGTCCTAACATTAAAAATATTCGCTGTTGGATACTCAAATCTGATTTCTTAACAAAAAAAAGCACATTGAAAATCAATAACAGTAATATCATTGAAATAATCATACCTTAAATTTGACTGGGGCAGCAAACAAATTATCAGGTTACCAGGATTCAATGAGTAGTAAACTATTTTCACACCTATAAGTCTTAATAATTTATCACAAGTATAAACACTTGTTAAATATTTTACAATATTGTTCCTATCCCTGCTAACCTCAATCTCATGCATATTCTGCATCAATTAATTGGGAACTGTCATCACATTACATTTACATAAAATATTAAAGAGCGTAATGCTTTATCTGTTCCGGAAAAGCCCCTGAAATGAGAATTTTTGAACAGTAAATCACTGCATACGTTACTGTTACCTATATAGTGAGGAAAATCAGAGCAAATCAGAACCAGTAAAAATTCAGACAGAGTGATATACAGATACTTACTATAAATTATATTAATGGTATTCCCAGTGCATACAATTCTAAGATTCATTCTTCTCTTTGGTTTGATCTTTTTTATTCCTTTTTCATGTCATAATAGTGTTGAACTGAATAGCACATGGTGTGTTATATAATCTGCCAGAAATTCCAAGTCGATTCCTTTATTCTCAAATTCTGTTAATCTTTTCCATATTTCTCAAAAACTGCTACAGGAATGAGAAGATGCTCAATGATGAGACAGTGATTTTGCACAATTTTAATTTCTTTCTTTTGTGTGGATCTCTGCTCAGTACCTTGGTGTTGGCCATCATCATGTGGATGGAAAACAAATTACATTCTAGAGACAATAGGGTTGTGTTTCTCGTGGTGTTAATGTAGGGGAATGAATATCTGAGGATTTGGTACCAGTCAAGCGGGCTGCTTTCCCTGGGATGGTGTCAAGCTTCTTGTATGTTGTTGGAGCTGTACTCATCCAGGCAAGTGGGGAGTGTTCCATCACATTCCTGACCTGTGCCTAATAGATGGTGAACTGGCCTTGGGGAGTCAGGAGTTGAGTTACTCGATGCAGGATTCCTAGTCCCTGATCTGCTGCTGTAGCCATTGTATTTATATGGGTGGTGCAGTTCAGTGTCTTGCCAATAGTAACCTCCAGGATGTTGATAGAGGAGGATTCAGCAGTGGTAACATCATTGAATGTCAAGGGACAATGGTCAGAATTCTCTTTGATTGGAGATGGTTGTTGTCTGGTATTTGCATGAGTTAACCAATATCAATTGTTTTTCTCTCTCTAATAAGACAGCAGCCCTATGGTCCGATAGGGCTATGGCGACTTTACCCTTATCTTTTACCAGGCAAATCCTAGTATCGCAGTTTCGGGGTCACTTGCTGTCAAGGAGGCATTCTAGACAAGAGTCATATTGGAATCAAACTATTGATTCTGTTTCTCTGTCCACAGGTACTGCAAGACCTGCTGAGTTTCTCCATCATTTCCTGTTTTTATAGCATTCTGTTCCTCCTGCCTCCAGAGGCAAGTGGGTACTCGACACTTGTCACCCCAAGTCTTGATATTGTCCATGAGAGAGATTGTAGGAACTGAAGACGCTAGAGAATTTGATATAACAAGGTGTAGAGCTGGATGAACACAGCAGGCCAAGCAGCAACAGAGGAGCAGGAAAGCTGATGTTTCGGGTTTGGACCCTTCTTCAGAAAAGGTTTTCAGACCCGAAACATCAGCTTTCCTGCTCCTCTGATGCTACTTGACCTGCTGTGTTCATCCAGCTCTACGCCTTGTTATCTTTGATATTGTCCATGTCTTGTTGCATTTATACACAGACTACTTCATTTTCTGAC